TTTCCATTTTCTCGAATATTCAGTAGAAATATCACGCGAATATCGATTCTCGATCATGATTTAAACGAAACGTGATAAGTGAATAGAAGAATTTGCTTCCACTAACACTTTTGTTCGATCGTTATCGATCGATATATGAACCAATTATCTCAGTTATTTGCCGGGCCTTTTTCTTCTCTTTTCACAAGTATTCACCGACTAATTGTCTAAAATTTTATCAACACATTTTATATTTTGATAAAACATTAAAATCTTTGGGTAAAAGAATTGAATTAATTATAGATTTAATAAGTTATAATATATATATATATATATTTCTGATTGATTATTATTAAATTGGTAAAAATGAGAAAATTGATATATCTATGTACATAAATTTTGATTTTATACTTACTGATATGAACAGCAATGAATTTGTAAAAATCTGTAAAAAAAAATCCGATTGAATGTACAAAAGTTTTTAAGGTTAATTTTTTGATATATTCGAATCATTTTTGATAGCCATTTTATCTTAAAAAAATTTTGTGCACTTGATCAAATTATCGATCAAAGAATTTCTGATAAAATTTCTTGTTATCGTAAAATATCACGAATTTTATGATACTATTTTTCAAAATTTTATTAAAAAAATTAATTATATTAAATTAAGCAACGATTGATTACTTTTACGTATGACTTACGTAGTAGTATCTTATATTCTTTAATTTGAAGAATAGAATAATTAAAATGCGTTTAATGGAAAAGATCTGTCTTTAATCTTTGTGCTAGTATAAAAACTAATTTAAATTCATAGTTCTTGTTCGTATCCAGTGATGATTCTTTGAAAAAATAATGATTTCAATCTTTCTTCGAAATATCATTTCCTTAGATTACGTAACATTTGTACGTATCAAAATAAAAGTTATGTTTCTTGGAATATTGTAAATGACGATAACATAAGGAATAAATATTATATAATTACGATTGCATAGGTTAAAATGATGTAGAAAATTTTTCACATTGAAAATTATCCTTTTTATCATTTTGCAGAAGCAACATTTCTTTATCTTGCCACAGTTCGTGCGGAAGCGTTGACGATGGCCTCCAAGGATCTCATCCTCAGTATCAGGATACAATCCTTACTATTGAGGAACTTCGTGCTCAATTGAATTCTTGTTTCACGTAAGTTAACATGATTAAAAATCAATTTTGTTGCAATTAAAATTATTAGCAAAAAAAAAAAAAATAATAATAATAATCTTAAATTTTTAAAAAATAATTTGAATTCTGGAAATAAAGTTATATTTAATAAATGTAAAATTAAATATTTGCTGTGATTAACAGTAATAAGTAGTAGAAGTTACCAGAAACGATTAACTTAACCGGTTCTTTCTTCGCATTATTTTTAATATAGGTCAGTAATTATGCGCTCTCCTTGGGCTATTGACTTCTAATCGCTTCACGATCGTCCTGTATGCACAATTACTATCGCCCCACTTGAAAAAGCATGCACCATACATATCGAGACAAATAAGAATGTATAAAGTAACAAACAAGAATCTTGAGAATTCTATGACTATAGTCAAGTTGAACTTTTATCTCGACGTCAAACGGACAATAGATCGATAATAGAATCCGATATGATCCGAATTGCAATGATTGAATTTGTTCTAGACGTTAGTCTTATAACGCTTTGTCTTAGTCTTAATATTAGATATATCAATTGGATTGGAAAAATCCAGCTTAAATCTTCTAATTCTTGGACTCCATTGTTTCAATCAAATGTTGCGTAATTTATATTGCTATGGCTTGAATGATTCAAAATTTGGTTGAGATTAATTGATAATTCTTTTCCTGACAATTATTTTTAAATCACGCTTCTTTAAAAATTTTTTGTTCGACACGGGTTTAAACTTTTAATTTTAATTTTTCAAAACAATTTCTGAGAAATTAAATTAAATTTTAAAAAATAGTATGAAGATCACAGGATTTTTATGATTTCTAAATTTATTTATTAAAAATATGTAATAGAGCAATGATTGAACTTGGAACATTTTCATAACCTATTGGATTTATAATTAATTCCACTTTATGATTTTATAATTATAGAAATAAAGTATTAAAACACTTCTTTGTATGATCAATTTTTCTATTTTTTTTTTTATTATTATATATTCACTTTATTTTTATTAAGTAATAAATATTTTATTTTTTTTATAAATATTAAAAAATCAATGTCTTATTCTTCTCAAAAAATATATTTCTCATGTTTACAGATGTGGAGTTTCGTGGAGCGAAGAACACGTTTCTCTCGATTGTAGTGAATGTGGTGGTTATTCTCTTCAACGACCGTGCCCACTTTGTGACGGACGTTGCCGCACCTCGTGGAAACGCGACCTTACTATGGTAAGAATCTATTTTTGATCTATTTTTTTTCTCCTTGACCTATTGTGTATTCTATAAACATCTTTAAAAAAGAGTCTCAATTGATTCGTTATTTTTATCCATTTGTTTTCCGAATAAACGTGAACATTCATGATCGTGGAAAAAAAGAAATAAGAAATTGCTTCAGAACCTGTTAAAAAAAAAATAAAGAAATCTATTTTTAACCTATCTTTAATTTGAACACATTTATAAAATGCAATTTTTAATTAATTTCAGATTATAATTAAATTGTTGGGTAAGAAAATAAACAAAAGAGTATAAAAAGAAAAATCAATTTTAATGTTTGATATTAGACATAAAACTGACAATTGCTCTTATCGATTTCACGAATGGCATTTACAATAGCCCATGTTAACGCGAAGGTCACATCAACGACTGCTTTGTTCGCGATAAGCTGTAATAAGTTGGTCGTGCGAAGCAGTCGATAAAGGCTGAATTTAATGCCAACTTATAATAATAGAGTTTTAATAGCTCCGTTTCTTTTTTAATCAATGATTGAAGATTAAAGAATGGTGTGTAAAAAATATAACAAAAGATAAATATTACATTTACTAATGTTATATTTTTTTAAAAAATTTATAGATTTAAAAGTAATATAATAAAATAAATTTAAAAATAAAATGAAACGTACAAATTATATAACCATTTCTATATGATCAAGGACAGTAAAATACAATAGTTGATATTATTTTATTTTAAAATTACAATTGTTTGTTGTAAAAAAATATAATATAATCATTTTATTATAATTTAAAAAATAAATTTTATTTTTTTTACAAATACTTTGAATATTTAATGTATAATATATTAGAACAAATAAGTAAAAAGGTATTTTTTTTTTTACAGTCCCATGCCAGTGGTAAAGCAAGATGGATTGGTGAATGTGGACTGAGTTGCGGACCTTCTATCGAGGAACCATTGGTGCCCGCGTTGGAAAAGCTACGAGCTACTTCGTGAACGGTGTTCAACGACGAATGCATAGAAAGACGTTGTCGTATACCGTCAACAATGCACAAGACTTAATCCATCACCACCATCCATATAGCATCACCCCCACCACCATTGTGCGAGTTGAAAACGTGTGAATGTGGATTCTGGATGCATAGATGATACATTATGTTCCTCAGAAGCAAGAACGGGGACAAATAACATCGGACAATGAAACCGTTCTTTTCCCATGGCTTCCTGTTTGACGATGGCATTACGTTTGAACGATCCATTAGTGAAGAATCTTCTTATTGTCAGAGCTCTAGCGAATATCGCTATTTTCATCATCATGTATTAAAACGCCATCTGGATTTAAAAAAGCGAAAAATTACTATGCGGAATTTTCGCTATCGACGATGCTTCTTGATAGATCCATAATTAAGAATATAATGCAATATGACGTTCGATATCTTTGTATTATTATAAATTTCGAATCATATTTTATTCGAAATGTATATTAATTGTTGCGGCAAACTTCGACGCGTAATTTCATTATTTCAACAATTACACAATTCTGTATAAAATATCACAAAACAAATTGGGAAAATGGTTTTAAATTTAAAAAATTTTAAAAATTGATTTAATGAATTGATTTATTTGATGATTGATATGATTTTTAATAAATTAAATAATTTGGTAATTATACATTTAAAAAAAATTAATAAGGATTTTAATTATGTTTTGTTGATATTAATGGTTAGTTAATATTGGTGCAAATTTTCAAATTGCGTTTTATTATATATATATTTTACTGTAACGAAGTGTTGCAATATTTTGACAAAGATAGCGAGAAGATACTTGTACGAAATAGTAATAGATCGTGAATAAGTTGTTCTATTCTAAATCATCATCGCATTCATATCATTGTTTTACGGATCTGTAATAAATATTCCCATGTTTAGCTTGTAACAAAAAAGAACATTTTAGAACTTTATTAATTAATGCAATTTGATCTCGAAGAAATGCACAACGTTCCAGGTTTAAGTAATATTTTACGCGATTAAACAGTAAAATTTCTCATATTAGAGTGATTTGTAAAAAATTAATATTTTGAATATAATTCAAATGACATAAAAAAAATAATCTAAAGAATGGAAACAATATATTGTACTATTGAAAAGATTCATTAAATCAAAATTAGAAATCAAATTTTTACTGAAAAGTGAAAGACTATTAGTTTGATAATTAAAAAGAATTTGCAATATAATACATAAAAAGATGTTTTTTGTATTATATTAGTAGATTTAATCTTGTTAATTTAAATTACTAAATTATAAATGCAGTAAATTTTCTGTATACAATTAAAAATTCATTTCGTAGATTTTTGCATATTATATTAAAAATATATTTTTATTTGTCCGATTTGATGTTAAGTGCCGAGAATTACAAAATTAAGAAGCAGAACTGTGAAGAAATATCGGTCGAAGTATAAGAATTAATAAACTTGAAACTTTTTTTTACAAATTAAAAATACATCATGTTTCTGATAGAAAAAGAAAATCACGATTTTGCAAAATTACAAAATGTAATTTTAAATTTATCAAGTAAAAAATAGCAAATCTGAAACTTATTTTTCACTTACTGTTTTCCACGTAATATCACGTTTCTACTCAATTTTGGCTAAATAATACATAATTTACAAGAAAAATGATCAAAGAGAAGCATTTATGTTGGTGCCAATAATTTTATTGAATTTTTATCATTTCATATTATTTTTTAAAACGTTCATTAAAATATTTGTAATATTAGATTTCACAAAATGATTGTATAATTTATGCACAATTTATTTTTGAATATATCTGTGTATTCTTTGATGGTATAATGTTTCGTATGTGAGAACATATTCATTAAGTCCATGTTCATTTTAAATTAAATTGTAACTTGTAAACATTTTCTGAAGTATTAGCTACGAGCTTTAGTTTAATGCTTTAGAAAATATGTTTGGTAGCAATTTTTATTTAATCCGTAAAATTCTTATTTATGACCAGAACATAAAAATTATTATTATTATGGGTTTAATAAACGATATTCGTCAAGAATATAGTGTTTTTTTTTATAAATACAATATAGCAATAAATAAACAAAAATAAATACAATTTAATAAGAAAAACTTTATACGTACATTTTACACGGAAAAATAATTTTTATAAGTAGAAGAATGAAGATTTCTGTTTTATTGACAAATTTATGTACATATCATGCTGCGCAGCATATCTTTTCAGATTAAATTATATTAAAGTACACGATTTCATCCATGTACTTATTGATTTCGATATTATTCGAGATTATTTATGAAATATATGGTACGATAAAAATAATACATGACTGTTATAACAGGCAACGTAGAAACAGATAATCAAACAAAATCCAAACCAAGCTACATATTGAACGATATAAGTACTGTCACTCCAAACTAAAAACACAAACAGTATTATTCTATATTAGAGAATAAATTTATACTATCAAATACAAAATATGATCAAGATTTGATCACAAACAAATCAAGTTTAATTGTTATTCTTGTGATTAAGACTGTTTCTATATTAACCTGTTAATGTTAAGTATATAGCCGCATCTAAAGTGGCATACTCTTGCTGCACAACCTTTTAGGGAGTACTAGCTCATGAATTATCGTACAAAATATCTTCATTAAATAACTCTTAATATTATTAGATAGAATTTGCAAAATTGTTCGGTAGAAAAAGACATTATTCCGACTGAGAATTACAGAAAGAAAAATACTGAAAATTGTAGAGGTAGGCAGAACGTTCCTCCTTAAAAGATCTGTGCGTGAAATTATTTGCTGCCTGAATCACGCTAGAATATTTTACTATTCAATTTACATAAATGTAGCATTGATTTGCTAAGAGATCGATTAAAATCTTCTTTAAAATAATGAAGATAATTTCAGCACCATTATCCTACAAGGACAACTAATCTTGCTTGCAACACGTGCAAGTATTGACAAGAATTACACTTTGGTGCACGATCTGATTCACGTGCAATAATAAATAAAATTGCTGCATTGTAATGATAGGATATCGGTAACTTCTCCTTGTCGGTTGCTCCTTCCTGTACAAAAATTATTCAAATTCTACATATAGACAATTTTAAATAGATAAGACGAAAAAATTTTACTAAAAGGAATGTAAAAAAAATAAAATTATTTACTTCGAAAAAAAATTCTAATAGGAACGAATTGCGGGTGGAACTGTCGCACATTCCTGTTTATTTAAAGTATTGTCTATAACTGGTCTGAAATCGATAGATACCTAAAAAATAATTTAATTTATTAAGGGTGAACAGAAAGAAGTAATAGTTACATTATTTATTTTATATTTAATACTTACTTCTCCTGTTCTAACATTTATTTTTGTAAGTGTATGCTTTCGCCAATGTTGATCCAATGGTCTAGGTTTTTGGTTTTCTGTTGATTTACTGTAATCATATTCATCGATTCTATCTCTAAAATCTTCACGTGCATGAGCCCCACGACTTTCTTTTCTATTTTCAGCAGCTACTATTGTTTGCATGGCATTGATCATTAAATTTTGTAATTCAAGAGATTCTACAAGATCAGAATTCCATATCATAGATTTGTCCAACACCTTAAGATCGTTCAATTTTTTATATAAGGCAGACATCTTCTGACATCCTGATAGAATTTAAGAATACTTTAATTTCAAATATCATCATTTCTATTTTTAAAATAATTTTAAATTAAATTTTGATCTGAAATTATACCTTCTTGTAATGTTTCAGCTGTTCTGAATACTGCTGCATGAGTTTGCATAGTTTTTTGCATGCTCAATCTTAATTCTGCAGTAGAAACATTACCATTCGCATTTCTGACCCAATCCAAGTTCGCCACACTTTCTTCTCCGGCATTCTAAAATATATTTAGATTATGATAATAATTTTCCATTATATTATCTGATGGTCATAATAAAAATTTATGCTAACGGGTTTTAGAGGACCAATAGTTTCTCCTGGCTTATTTTCCGCTGCAATTGTTTTAGCACAGGCACGGCCGAATACAACTAAATCTAATAATGAATTTGCACCAAGACGATTAGCACCATGAACAGATGCACAAGCTGATTCTCCACAAGCGTAAAGTCCGGGCACAACTGTATCCTGATCATTTTTTCTCGTTAAAACCTGTCCTTTGTAATTTGTAGGTATTCCTCCTATATAATAAAATATATAAAATTATATAATTTAAAATATTAATATAAAAATATAATATAATATATAATATAATATTAATATAAATATATAATAAAATTTTTAATAATATGAAATTAAATTATATAACGTATTTATGATATTTATAAAATATAGCAATACATTTTTTGAAAAAAAAAAAAAATATTATACATACCCATGTTATAATGTACCGTAGGTATAACCGGAATAGGTTCTCTGGTTACATCAACTCCAGCAAATATCATTGCTGTTTCAGAGATTCCAGGTAGCCTAGCTGCTAACTGTTCAGGTGGTAAGTGATGTAATTGCAAATAAATATGATCTTTTTCAGGACCAACACCTCTAAATAAAAATAAATTATGTATATTATAATATGTATTATAATATTAATTAAATAATCTTTTGTGAATTAAATATTATTTATACATTTTTTAATATCTCAAAATTGAAAAATAATAAAAAATTGTCCATTTATTTCTTCTCAAATAGAATATTTAAGTAAATAATAACCATAAAATATGATTTGTTATATTTAAGTGTTAATAATAAATTTGTATCAATATATTTTTTGATATTGTTATAAATTTTGATAATAATATTTACTTTCACTTATTATATGATTTGAATATATTGTATACATTCATATAATTTACCTGCCTTCCCGAATTTCAATAGTCATAGATCTAGATACAACATCTCTAGAGGCTAAATCTTTTGCAACTGGAGCATAACGTTCCATAAACCTTTCACCTTCACTATTTACAAGATAGCCTCCTTCACCACGACTACCTTCTGTGATAAGACAACCAGCTCCATATATTCCTAAAATAATTTCATAAATACATAATATTACTATTTGATCATATGAAGCATTTTGTATATTATTTTATACCTGTAGGATGAAATTGCACAAATTCCAAATCTTGATTAGGTAAATTGGCTCTAGATATCATTGCAGTGCCATCACCAGTGCATGTATGAGCAGATGTACAAGAGAAATATGCACGTCCATATCCTCCAGTTGCTAATACTGTGTTTTTAGAATGAAAACGATGAAGTGTACCATCTTCCAAACAAAGAGCAATCACTCCTCTACACTCTCCACCTTCCATTAATAAATCCAGAGCAAAATATTCAACAAAATAATTACAGTCATAACTCAAGGATTGACCATATAATGTGTGAAGTAAAGAATGACCTGTCCTATCTGCTACACAGCAACATCTGTGAGCTTGGCCACCTTTTCCAAATTTCAGAGATTGTCCACCAAAAGCACGTTGATATATTTTACCTAAAATAGAAATTTATTTTATTATATCAGGAAAAATTTTATATTTGATGTAATATTTTAAATATATATAAAAGTTCAACTTATTAGTAATTTATAATTATTTTATATATAATTTAACTCTTATTTTCTCTTCTTCTATTATATTACAATTCTATTATATTATATACAAACTTTAATTTGAAATTAAAATTATATAATATAACCATATTCACATTATTAGAAATACAATAATATATATTTAAGTACATAGCAACCATAAAATATGATTTGTTATTTTTAAGTATCAATAACAAATTTATATCAACACATTTTTTGATATTGTTATAAATTTTGGTAGTAATAATATTTATTTCTTTAGAATAATAAATTTAAAATAATGTTTTTGAATAAAAATGTTGAAACATTGTTATAAATATTAAAAAGTTACAAATTATATATATTCAATTATGGATAAAAATATAAACCAAGAGAAAAATTGTGATGGATCTAATGAAGAAAATTTTAAAGATGGAGAATATAATACAAGTAAACAAATTAAAAAAATAATAGAGTCTAAATCAAATTCTAAACTGAAGTCAAATAGGTAATTTATATATTTTTATTATTTATTTTTATAATTTATCTGTTATAAATTTATTAATTATAATTATATAAATAATAATTTTCATTATTATTTATTATATATATATTATATTTATTATTATATTTATTATATATATATTTATTATTTACATAGTTTGAATCAAAGAGCCCATTCTCGTTCTCGTTCACCATATAAAAGTTCTAGACATTGGAGTTCCAATGCTTTTATAAATTTTGTTCAGGATTTCAGACAAGTAAGCACAAATTAAACATAAAATATTTATTTATTTAGTTTTAATACGAAGAAAAATATTTTTATAGAATTATGATGGTGTAAAAAGTAGTAGAATATTTCAAATGGCTGGTGAAAGATGG